AAAAGAGAACGAAAACCCCCAGATCCCTGCGGATTTGAACCAACGACCTTAGGGCACATAGGCGAGCGTCTATCCAGTACACCAGGATGGCTCCAATAATAAAAATACACACCGCTAAACGAAGTGCACTAACAGTATAGTGGTAAAATAAAAGCAAGAGGACTAGCGGTGTGTGTTTTGTGATCCGGCTGTGAATTAATTTTGCAAGTCTTTCAACACTTGTCTTTCTGCAGATCTCAACATCCCGTTTCCATTCGTGTGATGACACCTTTCTGTAGGATTACATCATATTCTGTATAGATTTTTTTTTAAGTCATAAATTCATATATTTCATATTTATTTCCAGTTCTCATAAACTGTGCCACTTTTACCGTTGAGCGAGACATATTCAGTTTAGACAGCCACATATGACATGTTGAGAGTTACACATTAAAAAGTAATTTGAGAGTGACAAATTCAAAAGGGATCTGGGAGTTACACATTAAAAAAGTAATTTGAGAGTTACAAGTGAAAAGGGGATATAAGAGTGACACATTAAAAAGTCATTTGAGAGTTACACATTAAAAAGTGGGTTGAGAGTTACACATCAAAAAGTGATTTTAGAGTTACACATAAAAAAGTGATTGGAGAGTTACACCTTAAAAAGTGATTTGAGAGTTACACATTAAAAAGTGATCTGAGAGTTACACATAAATAAGTAATTTGAGAGTTACACATAAAAAAGTGATTTGAGAGTTACACATAAAAAAGTGATTTGAGATTTTCACATTAGAAAGTAATAACATAAATAGGGGATGACTGCAATCAAACTGACGCAAGTGATGAGGACCACTCTTTCTTTCAACCGTCATGAAACTACAGTTAATTTATGTGAGCCTGGAGATGACTTATAAACCCAACATGATCCCGAAAATATCTAGGACAGTAAGCACAGGGAACAGTGGTGTGGGTGTAGGTCTTTCTAGCCTGCCTGCGAGGTTCAGCTGCTTTGTTTCCTTAAATGTTTGAGGTTTGAGGCTTGAACAATGGATTGTTGTTGTTGCTATCGATCCAGCGGCGCATGAGCTTTCGCCCTTTGGCCCAATGCCATGTAGTGGAATTTCCATGTTTTCACAAGCTGTTTTTTTTCCTCCGTACAAGGTGTTTCACTTTTCTGGTCTCGGAGAGAGTAGCATTCTTCTAGTTTCGTTGAGTTTTGGGCACTCAAAGAGATGGTGTTCAACAGTTTCGTAGGGGTAGTTACATAGCTGGCACTCTGGGGAGTGTTGTGGCTGTATTCTGTTTAGATGTCCACTGAATGGAGTATGTTGTGTTCTAAGTCTGAAGATGGTGGCCTGGTCCCTTCTGTCATTAGGATCAGGGCCAGCCATATGTCTATAAATCGCTCTTCCAGTGTCTCCCATGGCCCATCTGTTCAACCAAGTCTCTTTGTTTTTAGCTCTTTTAAGTGTTTTTGCTGTTAGTAAGGTTGTCGCTGTAGGTGGTTGTTCTTGTGTTGCTCCTTTCCTTGCCAGTCTGTCAGTTCTGTCATTACCTAGTGTGCCGGAGTGGCCTGGAATCCACTGCATTACTATTCTGGTGTTGTATGAGGTGAACAATGGATCAACATCATGGCACACGGTTAGTAACCCATAAGTGCTCCGTTTTTCTTTTATGTCTGAGTCTGAAGAAGCTCAGCACAGTCCACAGGCTCTTCAGCACCGGCGAGGATCCTGAAATACTTTGGGTAGATTTTTTACTCCAAATTTTGCCCTGGCAGCGCCGTTATACTACTATTTTTTTCGATTTACAACTGCCAAGTAGTTCTTTTTTTTTTTTTTTTTTACGTGCGCAGCAATGCACACAGGCTTCCGATCTAACTACCCAGAGACCAGAGGAAAATACTAGAAGTTCAAGTCCACGAGAAAAAATTCCCAGTGTGATAGGCTGGAGAACGACAAAGACTGCTGTTCCGCAGCTTATCGATTTTGGTTTATTTGGTCGATACCTTGATTTAGTCTGGTTTAAAAATTACCAAGATGCCACAGAAACAGCTTTTAGTCTCAGACTTTAACGCAGAGAAACCAGATCAGCCTTCAGTTAATGAAAACCTTGTTTAGTCTTTAGCAGCCTATTTGACTTCCGGACGCACCCTGTAGAGACCTATCCAGCTGTTGTAGCTCTGACATTGGGCTAGCCAGCATGGGTATGGGCGACTGCAGGGGAAGGCCCGTTGTCTGATTGATTTTCTTGGCTGGTCTAACGGTACGTTTCAAATTGTTGGGTTGTTTTAGATTTGATTTCCATTGTATATCCTCGCTAGGAGATAGTTTGATGAAAGGTCGCTATAAGTGATTTGTTGGCATATTGAAGCTTAACGTACATGTTAAATATGTTTAGGTTTTTGCCATTATTGAGGTAATCTCGCAGAGCGTATGGTGTCATTATCGTATTTCCTTGTTAACTGGAGATGATTAGCGCTTTAGATTCTGGTCGAGCACGTTGGCTGTTGTTACTGTTGTTAGTTTTGAACCACGCTGATTTTAGGATAAGTGAAAGAAACAGATGTTCAATGTAGTAATCATAGTTCCAGTTGTTTTTGGTTCATATTAGGACTTTTGGTTAGTGTGCCCAATTTAGTGTTTGTTGCTTGGCTGATCTAGACTGCACACAGATTTCCTGTCTGTGCTAAAATATTTATGTTTCTAGTCCCTACCTAACGATCTCTTTTTTCTTTATATTTGTTCTTAGTACTTAGGGGTTTTTGCTTCTAGTACACTAGCCCCACTGAACCTCTAGCACTCGAGGCGGACAACATGCCTCGAGATTACGCAGCCCCATTGTTTCGTAAAAGAAGCCTCGCATGTCGCTGCCATTCTTTGGAAAGACGTTCACCATTTAGTTAGGTCTTGTCACGCAGACTCCCAGGGTCTATATTAAAGACCTTTTATTGGTTATTATTTTCAACTATGAAATGAGGGACGAATGAATAACTGCATGCATCGAGTGGAGTGGAAGGGCTAAATATTAGACAAGCCTGCGTGCTCAATCCTTAACCCTTTGAAAATAAAGTTTGTTCGTTCGTTCGTTCTTTAAGCGATATCTTTAGCATCAAGAAATACTAAATAAAACACAACATGAAACTAAAATGCTCAAGGAAACAATTTTTTCTTAAAATAAATGCAACCACGTTTCGACACAAGTCTTTATTATCGGAATACTAAACACAACAGAAACTATTATGCTGGAAATCTCAACGGATAAGAACACAGAACTTATAGATGATTTCTTGTTCTGTTTGGAACACGAGACAGCTTGGAGTAGTGCTCATGTTGAGTATGTGTACATGTGACGGCTTTTTACTTTGTTAAACTGGATCAGTCGGAGTCTGCAAAGTTGAGAGCGAGATTTCTGCCTCTGCTCTGAAGTAGGTACCAGCTTTTAATGTCGCTATTAAATGTGTCTCTATGCTTCCATTTTTTTTAAGCAGTACACATGCATTTGTGAACATACGCATGACTGCCCTACAGTTTAACAGTTGTTTCTACTATCTGGTCTCTGCTAACGCCGAATAATGGGCGTAGTATACCATATACATGACATCACAAACTGTCCCAACGACTTCAGGCGAATGAGCGCATTGTGGAGAAGACTGACCTTGCATTTCCTAGGACGATTAAATGCAACATGAAAACCTAGTGTTATGACAGGGCAGACCAGACACCTAGGCTTGACTGGCAGCTAATCTAATAGAGAGACTTCAACAGTCGATAAGACAGACAGATAGAACACTGCTCTTGCATCATGTTTGATTCCAAAGGTATCGGTATTACCTTTCCTTTGGAGTCAGCATGCCAGGCCAACATGTAAGTAAAGGCCCTTTTCCACCCATTTAGGCGTATAGGGCATATAGGGCCAGATCTATATTTTTAAAGACCAATCGCCACAGACGGGTGATGTGGTCAGCATCACGCCGGCCGCCTTTACTTTCCTGGACTGCATCCGATCCCACTCAACGCTGGATCGACCTGGCAGTCAAGGTCATTTTTGAAAAAAGATAGGCTCTGCCAGGAAGCGAACCCACGACCTTCCGATCCGCACGCGAGCGTCTAGCCACTACGACACATCGACTCCCATAGGCAACATAAAGTTTAAACAGTAATGCTTATTTTTGTAACCTAGGAAAATGTTGACACTTTTACGCTGCTCTGAGAAACTCCCTCTCTCAGCGTTACTGATTGCTGGAGAAGCTGTTAAAAAAAATCATGTCCTTTCTATCATTGGTGCCGACAATCTCTTATTCCATAATAAAAGTGAGTAACTGTTGCTTGTATTCATTTAGACTCAATCCCTGCTTGCACTCGGTGAGAGAGTATGGTACTATTGAAACGAACCCAAAAACAGTGTTTGAATTAATTTTAATGAGAAGTTGAAACGGACTGATTAAAACATAGTTTCGTTATTTATTTTATTTATTAAACGATCATTACTATTAAAATCGTGTATATTACATTGTGTCAGCTCTGTGGCTAAGTCAGAGCGCTTCGTAATGCCGGGGTGCCGGGTTCGATCCCAGCTGCGGGCAATGCGCCTTGCGTTGGTATCAGGGGGCCGACCGCCTAGAAAACAATGGTAAACTACTGGACGTAAATTTGCCTAGAGAAACCACACAAAAGCCACGGGCTGCTTGGATTGGTTCTACAACGTCCTGCAAAAAATACGCAACTAACCTAACCTAATACTACATTGTAAAAGGTAAAATTTTTCACTCCAAAAAAAAAAAACTGTGTTCATTAAAATTCGTTTCCCCTACAAATGGAACAAAATTAGAGTGTCTCTATGATACGCCAGTATACTGGCGCTTGGTTGATAGGGATAACTTCATAAGCCAGTTAACTGGCCGACCCGTCTTCAAAGAGTTAGTAATGATATTCAAATCTAACTTTTCTTTCCTTCCACGGCCGGCGTTATTTCTTTTTCGAAGCCAGTCCATCATTGCGACAGCCGGTGTTATTTCTTATTCAAAGCAGCCTCTTCATTGTCCTTGCTGATGTGTGTTTTTCCTTACTAGCCACAGCCCATGGTTGTATGGAAGCGCTCCCAAACACCAAGAAGATGACAGACGCCATGACGTGGGCTAGGGCGGTGATAATCCACACCACTCTCCACTCTTCGTACAATCCCTGTAGACAAGAGATGCAACAAGAAGAAGTTCCAGAAATGAATCCACTATAGCAGTGTTTCTCAAACTTTTCTTAGTCGCGGCGCATTTTTTTTTTTTTTTCAATTGAAAATTTTCTACGGCGCCCTAACCTAAGAAAAATTATGACTATTTGTATGTAAGAGACTAAAAAAAAAAAAAAAAAAAAACAACTCGTGTTTCCCCTGTGACGATGTCGCGGCTTCCCTGGGGTGCCAGGGCGCACAGTTTGGGAATCACCGCACTAAAGCAAAAACTATGAATAGGAGGCTCAGCGAAAGTAGGAAAAAAAAAAAACACATTCGGAAGTTTCGACCGGTGTCTTTATCGACGAGCAACACTGAAAGAAGACTCTCTGAAATCAGTTTCCAGCAATATGGGCAGTAATGAACTGCTTCATCTCATATCTTCTCATCTAGTCCTCTTTACAGGACCTCGCTCTAGTCACCGTACGCCTGAAAAGTCTCATTCTCTAGCTAATACTTCCGTCACATATGTTTTTATAGCAAATGCAGCCTCAGTGTCATGTGTCCACGTTCGCAGAGGTCTGCCTCGTTTTGCAGAAACTGTACACTCCATCACCGCTCGCTGCAGGTCACGAGAACTTTGTCATGGAGAAAAATACCCTAGCTTTCGTGAAAGAATGCTGTTTATGAGCCAATTCTCCTCAATGTTCAGATCATGCATGGTTTCGGTGTTTGTCGGTTTCTAGACCTATAATATACAAAGGTTCACAGTGACGTCATGGAATTAGTCATCTTCATAATGTGTATCATTAAACGTTGATGTAAACACTATTGTGACGCACATGGCAAGAAAGTGGACATGTGACAAGCTATAAATTTCACAGTATATTGTTTGTGGTCTTTTCATTTTATTTATTTTCTTGTTTCTCTTCTTAATTCTCTCTTTTTCCTTCCCCCTTCCACCCTCTCTCTCTCTCTCTCTCTCTCTCTCTCTCTCTTTCTCTCTCTCTCTCTCTCTCTCTCTCTCTCTCTCTCTCTCTCTTACCGCTGTTGGTGTCGATGGCAGCCTTTACCACAGACACATCGTGCTGTTGTAGTTTCTTTGATTTTATATTTCCATCTTGTTCTTGGTTTACCTCGTATTCTACGCCCTGATCTTTTTTTGTTTTTTTTTTGTTTTTTTGTTTTGTTTCAGCCTTGCATGATAAAGCGTCAAAATGCATTCTCTCAAAGTGGACAAACCATATTCTGTCTGTAAAAATACGTAATTTAGAATTGGTTTTGTGACGACTTTTTCTTTTGCGACTTCTTTTCTAATTTATCTTTTCTGGCCACTCCTGCTACCCTTCTCAGAATCTCATGGCCATGGCTAGGAATATGTTTTTCTGATTTTTTTTTTGAGTGCCCATATCTGCCACTGGTAGGGCAGGGTGAGAATAAATGTGTTTTGTATGAGATGTATCTTTGTGCTTATCTTTTTTTTTTTTTTTTAACAGGGCTACTTGTCCCAACATTTTTTGTTTTTTTTTTTGCTTGGATGTTAATTTCTTCATCCAATTTCACATCGTCGGTAAATGTTGTTTCAAGATATTAAAACTCACATGACTGTCTAATGCTTTGACTCTATCGATATATTCAGGTTCTACTTCTGTCTTCCTACTTCCGTTTCCGGTTGTGCTGCGCTAGTTACCATGATTATTTCAAAGCCAGACGCGTATTGTATCGTTATTCATCGCTTCAGGCAAACATTTAATGGCAACCTATTTCACAGCTGGATGCCACAGGCAAGTTAATGTGTTTGTTGGATACTGAGTAATCATAGGTATTATTTGTTCGATGTTTTTTGCGACCCGCATACGTCACTGTTCTTATCGTCCTTAACAACATGAAGGAGCTATATGCGAATATAACCACCCATGCTTGTTTTGCACCGGTATACACAAGGATTAGAGAGATCCAGGGCTGTAGATGTCAGATCTCTTGCGCAGTTGAGCACACTAGCTGTTCTGCCTTGAGAGCTTTTACACATGAGTACTTGTACTATAGGGTGAAAGGGGCACACTTAAGACATGAGTACTTGTACTATAGGGTGAAAGGGGCACACTTAAGTTGTAAGTCCCAATCAAGAAAATCCTTCTACAGTCACCGTAGAGGCACAGAACACAACTGATCTAGGGGAGACTTCTTTATCGTCTCACTGTTTACCAGGCTGCAGTCCAGTGTCGTGGTTTTTTTTAATGTATTTATCTTGCGCTTCTCAGGTGGCCTGGGTAATAGCTTTGTTCACCTTTCTGCAGGTTTCGGCTACATGATTTATCTGTGGACGTTCATGATACAGTAGAGTCTCGCTTTACGAGCACCTCTCATAACGAGTAATTCGCATAACGAGCAAAACAAATTGTAAAAAAATGACTTGCTTAACGAGCGACCTTTCGCATAACGAGTGGCGAGGAGAGGGGAAGTCCCGAACTGTGCGCATATTACATCAGTCTGTGTTTAGCACTCGTTCCAGTAGCATCGTAGTGTCGCTTGTGATCACACAATTTCTCAAACCTGTGTTATATTGTGATATATGTACATGAATCATCCAGGCCTACAAGATGACCTCTCTGAAGAATTTAAGTTCATCAAGACCAGTTTCTGCCTCCCAACACCACTCCTTTACTCCAGCCCATGGACCAGCAAGTTATTTCTAACTTTAAGAAGCTCTACACTAAAGCACTCTTCGATCATTATTTTCAGGTGACTAAAGGGACCAACCTTACTCTCAAAGAGTTTTAGAAAAATCACTTCCACATCGTTGTCTGCCTCAAGATGATCGACAAGGCGGGGGAAGGGGTTACAAGAGAACCCTAACTTCTGCTTAGAAGAAGCTTTGGCCGGAGAGCGTTGCCGATTTGTGACTTTAAGACTTTAAGGGGTTCGAGAAAGCACATGTGGAACCTATAGAAAACTATATTGTTTCTTTGGCCATTATCATGGAATTGTAGGTGGATAACAGTGATATCAAAGAGCTTGTGGAAGAGCACAGCCAAGAACTGACCACACAAGAGCTTATGGGGTTGAATTGTGTTTCACAGCAAGAGGTTTTGGATGAAAGTTTGTCAGAGGAGGAGGAGGAGGTAACAGAAAAGCAACAATCTTCTGGCGAAATAAGAGAAATACTGAAAGCATGGCAAACTGTTGCATCTTACATTGAGAAGCATCACCCTAATAAGGAAGTGGCTATGCCCATTGCAAATTTATTTAATGATAATGCTGTTTCGTATTTTCGCTAAATTTTAAAGCGTCGGCAAAAACAAATGTCTCTGGACATCTTTCTAGTAAAAAAAAAATTATTAGCTATGTATCGTAATTATTTCGACGTTTGTTTCTGCAAATCGAATTCGCATTCCATGTGGGTTCGTTGCGCTTTTGAAGAAAAGATGAAGTTGATTCACTCTCCTTAACAATATGTATATAATTTTCTTTGAATAAACGTGAGTATTTTTTCGACATGGAACGCATTATCGTGTTTTACATTAATTTATATGAGAAAAATTGTTTCGCATTACGAGTGTTTCGCTTAACGAGTATGATTCTAGAACGAATTGTGCTCGTTAAGCGAGGTTCCACTGTATTATGTTTCCTGCCCGTCCTCATTATCAGTTTTCGTGGGGTTTATTCTCATATCATACTGTGTGCAGGCTTGATGTAAGGAGTCACTATGGTGTTGTAAATTCCGTTTTTGGTAGTGTATTAGACATTGATCGTCTGCATAAAGAAGTAAATTGATTTCCTCCCTGTTTGTATTTGCCTCCTGTCTTATTCTATCCATATAAGTAATGGATAGTCATGTTTAGAGGACACATCCCTGTCTGACAATTGATAGGATGGAAAACCTTACTGTGCACTGACTAGCTTGGTTAAGAGTCATGATGTTACCCAACATCTGATCTTGAATGCCATAATTTTCTAGAATCGATCAAACGCCTTCTCTGACTTTATCATATCCAATAGACTGCTCGCATATCTGCCTTAAAAAAAATATAGCATCTGTACAACTGTTTTCCTTCCTGAAACCAGACTGTCTCATAATGAAAAAAAAACAACTGTACAACTGTTTTCCTTCCTGAAACCAGACTGTCTCTTACTGAACTGAGGCTCTAGTGCTAGTCAAGCTATAAGTTCTAATATTTTTGCAAACATCTTTCCAGTATGGTTTATGGCTGACCTACGTGCCTATTGGCTGAATGTTTGTGGTTTATGCTGTCGTGAACGTGGAACGTCTGGTTAGCGTGTGGGACGATGCCAGGTGTATGCACTCCTTAAGGACATCCCCTGACTATTTTTGTAGCCAGCAGGCAATATTAGGGTGACCGTTTACTTCCTGCATTAAAAAAAATATTTTCGATGGATTTTGTACTTAATAAGAAAAAAAGAATCATCGGTGTGCAGCAGATGCAAAAATAAAACAAAAAAGACTAAATTGAAACATTTTATCGGCGAAATTGAAGGAGATAAATCATCGGGAAGGATGGAGAGAAAGATGGAAAGGAATGATCCGCCTATAACAACAAACATTATACATATTAAAAATGGTATGCCAATGACAACAGACAAAGATGAAGGAAAATCATTTTTTCAAGCGAATTTTAGCCCAGACTGATAATAATGATTAGAAACATAGAAATTCAGTTAGAGAAAATATGTCTAACACTAATTATTTTCAGGGTATCATTAGGGTGAAGGATACAAAATAGGAATAAGAAAAAGGAAAAGACACTGCGCCAAGGCCAGACGGAGTCATGTATGAACACAGGAAGATTGACAGTAATCAAGACTTCAGATAGATGGTTTTTTTTTCTTCATATAAGAGGTTTCTGGGTTCCCTACGAGGTTTATGTGGCATAGTGGTCAAGCGGTTGCCTCCCGCCCTGAACGTTGTGGGTTCCTTCCCGGCTGCGTCGTTTGATCCGCGACTGCACATTTTATAATAGATTCCTGGGGATAGTTGCGTGAGCTTTGTGTGAGGCTCTCTGTGGAGGTAGGCGAGCCAGGCTGAAAAAAAAAAAAAAAAAACCAAGCACTGAAGTTGATGCTCTCGACATACTTAAAATGTTCTGATAACTCCCGGCACATTTTCACCTTAGGGCCACGTTAGCGAGGTTGATAGGAGACTCACCTTCAAATCCAGCTGCGACTCGCTGCAGCCCACCGCCGGTGTTCGAAACCGAGCGGTTCCCGATGTACTCAGCCTCTAGGTAATGGATACTAGAGTTAACACTCTAGGGTAAATGGAGGAACGTCGCTGTAGCTACGGAGTTGCGTGCGAACGGCGATACAGACGGACAGTTTTTTTTTATCAGCTGTCTATACTGGTGGCAGAAACATTTATGGTTTATAATCGTGTGCGATGACGCTGGTTCACATCTCCCTAATTTCCTTTTTTTTTAATTTTTTTTTTTACATTTTCACGGAAAGCGATTCCCCACACATTTCCCCCACCCCTATTCCTCAACTTTTCTGAAAAAAGGTTGGGGCGCTAAATTCTCAGATACCGGCGCCCCTGTTGTCATACCAACAAGTAATTTACATGGTAACTGACCTGTGTGGTGAGAGCAGCAACAACAATAGGCGGTGTGATGGACGTTAAGCTGGTCTCTGTGCTAATCAAAGCACTAATGAACCCAGCATACCTAAATAAACAAACAAGTACACTGAATGACAGGTCCACCCACAGTAGACTACAGGTTCTTGTGTAACCATTTTGTCTCTGTGTGTGTGTGTGTGTGTGTGTGTGTGTGTGTGTGTGTCATAATATATCTGGGCTATATATCTATACGGTTGAACGGGGAGACTTAGTCATACCGGGGGAAAGCCTTTCAAGGAAATAACACACAAAGTACGGAAATAAAAGGTTATCAACAGGAGGAGACAGACATGAGAGGGCTTGGTCATGTTTGCAGAATGCTACATGACACTTTGACTAGATAGCTGGCTGAAGGACAGCAGATGCAAAAAGGAGACCTATATGATCTAAAGAAACATAGAAAAGGACAGCAGATGCAAAAAGTAGACCTAGATGATCTAAAGAAACCTAGAGAAAGACAGCAGATGCAAAATTGAGACCTATATGATCTAAAGAAACATAGAAAAGGACAACAGATGCAAAAAGTAGACCTAGATGATCTAAAGAAACCTAGAGAAAGACAGCAGATGCAAAATTGAGACCTAGATGATCTAAAGAAACATAGACAAGGACAGCAGATGCAAAAAGGAGACCTAGATGATTTGAAGAAACCTAGAGAAGGACAGCAGATGCAAAAAGGAGACCTAGATGATCTAAAGAGACTTACAGAAAGACAGCAGATACAAAAAGGAGACCTTGATGATCTAAAGAAACCTAGAAAAGGACAGCAGATGCAAAAAGTAGACCTAGATGATCTAAAGAAACATAGAGAAGGCAGCTGATACAAAAAGGAGACCTAGATGATCTAAAGAAACCTAGAGAAAGACAGCAGATACAAAAAGGAGACCTAGATGATCTAAAGAAACCTAAAGAAAGACAGCAGATACAAAAAGGAGACCTAGATGATCTAAAGAAACCTAGAGAAGGACAGCAGATGCAAAAAGGAGACCTAGATGATCTAAAGAAACCTAGACAAGGACAGCAGATGCAAAAAGGAGACCTAGATGATCTAAAGAAACCTAGAGAAAGACAGCAGATACAAAAAGGAGACCTAGATTATCAAAGAAACCTAGAGAAAGACAGCAGATTCAAAAAGGAGACCTAGATGATCTAAAGAAACATAGACAAGGACAGCAGATGCAAAAAGGAGACCTAGATGATTTGAAGAAACCTAGACAAGGACAGCAGATGCAAAAAGGAGACCTAGATGATCTAAAGAAACCTAGAGAAAGACAGCAGATACAAAAATGAGACCTAGATGATCTAAAGAAACCTAAATAAAGACAGCAGATGCAAAAAGGAGACCTAGATGATCTAAAGAAACCTAGAGAAGGACAGCAGATGCAAAAAGGAGACCTAGATGATCTAAAGAAACCTAGAAAAGGACAGCAGATGCAAAAAGGAGACCTAGATGATCTAAAGAAACCTAGAGAAGGACAGCAGATGCAAAAAGGAGACCTAAATAGACAAGGACAGCATCTGCAAAAAGGAGAAGAACCTAGAACCTAGGACAGCAGATGCAAAAAGGAGACCTAGATGATCTGAAGAAACCTAGAGAAAGACAGCAGATACAAAAAGGAGACCTAGATAATCTAAAGAAACCTAAAGAAAGACAGCAGATACAAAAAGGAGACCTAGATGATCTAAAGAAACCTAGAGAAGGACAGCAGATACAAAAAGGAGACCTAGATGATCTAAAGAAACCTAGAGAAGGACAGCAGATACAAAAAGGAGACCTGGATGATCTAAAGAAACCTAGAGAAGGACAGCAGATACAAAAAGGAGACCTAGATGATCTAAAGAAACCTAGAGAAGGACAGCAGATACAAAAAGGAGACCTAGATGATCTAAAGAAACCTAGAGAAGGACAGCAGATACAAAAAGGAGACCTAGATGATCTAAAGAAACCTAGAGAAAGACAGCAGATACAAAAAGGAGACCTAGATGATCTAAAGAAACCTAGAGAAAGACAGCAGATACAAAAAGGAGACCTAGATGATCTAAAGAAACCTAGAGAAAGACAGCAGATACAAAAAGGAGACCTGGATGATCTAAAGAAACCTAGAGAAGGACAGCAGATACAAAAAGGAGACCTAGATGATCTAAAGAAACCTAGAGAAGGACAGCAGATACAAAAAGGAGACCTAGATGATCTAAAGAAACCTAGAGAAGGACAGCAGATACAAAAAGGAGACCTAGATGATCTAAAGAAACCTAGAGAAAGACAGCAGATACAAAAAGGATACCTAGATGATCTAAAGAAACCTAAAGAAAGACAGCAGATACAAAAAATGAGCGTATATGACCTAAGTCGGCGTCTGTGGCTTAGGCGTTGCGAACGAGCTTCGTAATGACGGGGTGCCGGGTTTGATCCCAGCTGCAGGCCTTGCTTTGGTTTCGACGGTAGTATCAAAAAGCCGACCGTCCAGAAGCAATGGCGAACTACCGGGCGTAATTTTGCCTAGAAAAACCACAATAGCCAAAAAATGCTGGGGTTGGTACTGCAACGGCCTGTAAATGATACCCAACTAACTCGATGACCAAAAGAAACATAGAGAAGGAAAATAGAACGGGGAATGAAGAATGGTAAATGTATACAGAAAACCATAGGCAGACAAGCAGACTGACATCCGTTGAGGCCAGTCGTGAATGCCTACTGTGACACCAATATAAGAGGATGTGCAGAGACAAGTGTAAAGTAAAGACGCCGTGGGTATGTGGCGTAAGACGCATTACTTTTCTGATAGACCAAAATCACCAGATGGAAATCGTTAACTGCATTGTATTTGCCTCCTGAGATATTTTAGAGGGGAAAAGGGGGGGGGGGGGAAGAGTTAATCCATTTCAAGGGTGGCTAGATCTTACAACATCCCCTGCGTAACTGAGCTGCCATGACATCACAAGTTGAAAGGTGAGGGAGACAGACATGGAAAAGGGTAATTGTGCAGACAAATAAACAGATGCATAGCAATACAGACAGACAGGCAAATGTTTGTTTGGACAGAGAGATAAAGACATAAACAGATATATAGATATACAGTTAGATGTACAGGCAAATAGGTCTTTAGACCGACCGATAGACAGACAGACGGACAAACGGACGGACGGACGGGCAGACAGACAGACAGACAGACAGACAGACAGACAGACAGACGGGCGGGCGGACGGATAGATGGACAGACGGATAGATGGACAGACGGATGGTTGGATGGATAAATGGATGCGTGAATGGATGGATAGAAGGATGAATAGATAGATAGATAGATAGATAGATAGATAGATAGATAGATAGATAGATAGATAGATAGATAGATAGATAGATAGATAGATAGATAGATAGATAGATAGATAGATAGATAGATAGATAGATAGATAGATAGATAGATAGATAGATAGATAGATAGATAGATTAGATAGATAGATAGATAGATAGATAGATAGATAGATAGATAGATAGATAGATAGATAGATAGATAGATAGATAGATAGATAGATAGATAGATAGATAGATAGATAGATAGATAGATAGATAGATAGATAGATAGATAGATAGATAGATAGATAGATAGATAGATAGATAGATAGATAGATAGATAGATAGATAGATAGATAGATAGATAGATAGATAGATAGATAGATAGATAGATAGATAGATAGATAGATAGATAGATAGATAGATAGATAGATAGATAGATAGATAGATAGATAGATAGATAGATAGATAGATAGATAGATAGATAGATAGATAGATAGATAGATAGATAGATAGATAGATAGATAGATAGATAGATAGATAGATAGATAGATAGATAGATAGATAGATAGATAGATAGATAGATAGATAGATAGATAGATAGATAGATAGATAGATAGATAGATAGATAGATAGATAGATAGATAGATAGATAGATAGATAGATAGATAGATAGATAGATAGATAGATAGATAGATAGATAGATAGATAGATAGATAGATAGATAGATAGAGTAAAAGCTCGTTAACGTGAATTCAAAGGGATCGAAAAATCAAGAGTTTTGTTTAAAAAAATATCGCTCTAACCAGAGACTAATAGTTGTTTTATGAATATCAAATTAAATATGCATTGTGTATGTGTATATATATATATATATATAATGCAATTGTCGCATAAAATATGAGTTGAGACATGCCTGCGTGCCTAATTTATAACCCTTTGGAAATAAAGTCTGTTCGTTCGTTTGTTGATTTAGTTTTAGTCTCATTCGAACTCGTATGTATGCGTGTGTTTGAGTGTGTATGATTGTGTACACATGACATGTGTATGCATTATTCTGTTATATATATATATATATATATATATATATTCCAATTATAAACATAAAATTAATTATTGATAACAGGCATTGGTACACTGAAAGATAAGTGCTTAGAAGGGTCGAATGTCAGACGGGCTTACGTGCCAGTTTAATCTAACGTTCGTATTCCTGAGATGTTACTGTAATGAAATATAACAAGATGCCTGATATATTTACACACGACAAGGTCAAACCTTGGTGCCAGATCCAGCGGAATTAATCCTGCGGTTGTTATACCAATTGTTGAAAGCATAGTCCCGAAACTAATCACCATAACTGCTGCCCATTTATGGTCCACATCAAAGAAGGATGCAGTAAAATACAAAACACCACCCACGGCACATCCTGAAATAGATAGAAATTCAAAACACCTTTACTTGGTTACTTAATCGACAGGTACCCCGTATGGATTTTGGGAGTGCCATGAGGGACACCAATAGACCCACTGTCTCTCCAACAAGCATATGGTAGGTTGCGACTTACTTGGGAACTTCCTTCGAAGTCGCAGTGCTTGTGCATCTGTCCGAGCGGCAAGAAACAACTAACCGCGTACAAATAAGCCAGTAAAACGGATTTACAAGCAGAATTCTGGCTCGGGCACAAAGCCAGAGTGTAAATGAACGAACAGCCATGACTTTCGACCGGAGCTTATAGACGGTGAAAAGAAGAAGAAGAGTTGGGCGATCATACTAATCACACACCAGACAAATTCAGAAGTGCCTGAATCCCAACTTGAGTATCTTCGTCAGTGTATGGCGACTGATTACATTGTTCTCTGTTGGTTTACGTTTCTTCTTTGGCTGTCTGTGCTGACACGAAGTTTTTGTAACCTTGCCAATTTTGCCAGTTCACTATCGTCTCCTGTACGTGTTCAATGCAGATTTTAACTCCAGACTTAAGGACCGACAGATGAGCGTTTTTAGCCACTAAGCTACTACATACTGTACTAAAGGTAATCATCGGGTGTCCTGATACAACGTGCTATTGAACGAGGTTTAGGCGATTTGCTTTTGCTGGATTATCATCAAAGCAGCACCTCATTGAGTCATTGGATATTAATCTGTTCAGTTTAAAATCCGTAAGAGGGGCAATTAGTTACATTGTTTTACCAAGTGGTTACCCATCAAGTGATAAGAACACACTAAACGTCCCTGATCGGGCCAGAACAGGTATTTTCAACATGAAGTAACCATTGCAAAATGCATACACTGTAAATAAAAACAAAACAATGCATTGACGTGGTGAAATCTGACCCATTTAGGCCACATCCTATACATCTGTCTGTTTCAGTAACGAGTATTGAGGACGCGCTGCATACCGTGTGAAAACATGTACAACAAGAGAGGCTGGACATTGGGAGAGGATAGAAGAAAAAGTAAGCTTTTTTTATGCATTCTGTTGTGTTGCTGAAAAATGTCAAGGTTTGGCTTTGAATATACACCTGTCGGATTTTGGGAACAAACAGAAAATTGGTTGGTTCCCATAAAGCGCAGCTTAAAGTGGGCTGTAGAAAATGTTCTGAACATTTGTTTGTTTGTGTTCACCGGCTGTAAACGCCTTTGAAAAGTCCTCGTTGGTTGTACATTTATAGGCTATGGCATATTTCCAGTTGTGCTTGTGCACCGGTTTTGCAGAATTGCAGGAAAGCAATTTCTTTAACAGACTAGAAAAAACTTATTTTCGAAAGACATCCAAACCTGTTATATACTAGGGTTCACAGACAGCGAACCTCTCTCAGTGTACATTGAGGTCTCTATAGACGTTGTCACACATACACTGGGGGGGGGGGGGGGCAGATGAGTGCCAAAGGCTGTCTGGACACTATATCTATTAGAGATCACAAACTCCGAGATCCTCTGGCAGCTATGTTTATGTCGATATAGGTCATTATCCATGGCACACTATGTGTTAAACATCCAAGCTGGCGCTGAAGGGAAGGTATAGTTTATACCTTTTACACCACACAAGGGACTTAGCTTTCACGCCCATGGTCGTTAATCTCAGAACATGCAACTAATGGAAATATACTACTTACAAAATGCATAGATAGTGAAAGGAAAATCATTTTGTCATAATTTTAACATCTTAAATCTGTGTAACTTAATTAAAGGTAAAGTCGGGACACGTGAACCAGCGTCATTGCACACCCTTATAAACCAGAAGTGCTCTGCGACCAGTACGGATAGCTGATAAGAAACTGGCCGCCAATGTCGCCGACCGCACGCAACTCCTTAGATACAGCGACGTTCCTTTTTTTTCCCCGGAGTGTTTACTGTGGTACTCATTACCTAGAGGCTGGATGAACCCCGGGAACCGCCCAGTTTCGAACACCGGCCGCGGGCTGGATTTGAAAACGAGTCTCCTGTCGACTTTGTAACTTAATGAATGAATAGTTCAATTTGCACACAAGAATGTATTAGGGTTTAGCAACTTAGTTAACAGTTAATTTGCATCTTCGTCATTGATAATTTTAAACGTGCAGGCTTGCTCATCAACTAATAAAAACTCACTATCGGATGACTAAGCCTTTGTTTGTGTCTGAACAATACAACATATAATACACTAAAACAGTTAATAGGAATAAACTCACAGGTAGCAAGTACAGCAGGGATCTACCAGTCATCAGTAGAAGTTATCCTCGTCGACAAGTGTTTCGGCCCACGATTCTCCTAGACACTTTCGGAGGTGGGCCCACGTGAGTTCATGAAGCTCAGGGCTGGTACCCTGCTGCACGAATTATCGCATGGTGTTTTTCTTTCGGATAGGGACAAGACGACTTGGTGATTTGCAGAAGGTACTGTGAGATAAAAAGTCGTTGCGGCAGCCTAATTAGAACAGTCAGCATGCCTGGACAACCGAGCGACAAGCTTACGTTTGGTTTACCTGACACATGTTGAACTTTTGTTAGCAGGTGGCAGAGGAACACTGGCAGACAATTCGGACACGATGGACTTTCAAAGGGTGAGAAACCCTTTTCCACTAGAAACCCGGACCAGCTCACCGAGGCCCGTCCCCTACGTTGTTGCGTTGCGTCCAAAGCCAGCTCGAGGCCTTTTCGGCTGCCTCGCCCAGTTTTTTAAGTGTTCGTTTCCGTTTAAAACCGCGCAATCCTAGTTCTTTGACCACATCGTACAATAAAGTGGAGACGAGGCTTGCTCATCAACTAATAAAAACTCACTATCGGATGACTAAGCCTTTGTTTGTGTCTGAACAATAAAACATATAATACACTAAAACAGTTAACTAGTACCATACCTTAAAACTACGGACTGTCCCCTTAGAAGTAGGGCTGCTGTAATGTTTATATCAAATGCTTAGCAAAAGACAAATGGACAGAACACTTCCAAGAGACTTTAAATAGAACTAGTCCACGAGAACAATGGCGTTTGATGAAGAGGCTTAAAAGTCCACATTACCAATACATGTATGATAGATGAATGTCTCGGAAATCAAGGAGGCAAAAAGACTTTATTAGCAAATGATAAAGCAACTGGAGGTCACAATATTGAGGCAGACGTACTTAAGGCAGCAGATGATGTGACCATAAACCAAGTGTAAGCTTTGTTAAACATAATACCGGCAGAAAAATAATCCTAAATCAATGGAAGAACAGAATTATTGTTTTAAGAGTAGACATACCAAATTTAACGAATATAGAATTGCTCTGGTATCAGTAATGTCCGTGACTTTTTGTAAAACAATTATCAGTAGAATTAAAGGGGGTAGTAGACAAAATCATGACAGGGGAACAAGCGGGTTTCGACCTGGTAGAAGAAATAATTACCATGAGACTTTATTTTAGCGGAATCTGTAGAAAAACAAAACAAACAAAAAACCCCTTATTCTGAATGTCGTCGACTTATAAAAAAAAAAGCTTTTGATAGTTTACATAGAAAGCCACTTTATGGAATTTTGGAATGATATGGTATACCAAAATGTAATACCGTAATTATAGCAACATATAAAGGTTTAGCGTATGCAATGTTAACGGGTGATGGTTTAAGTTATTTGCAATTGAAACTGGGTGGAACATTGATGTATTTCTACCCTGCTATTTGGTATACCCACTGACTGGGTGATGAAATATACACTGGAAACATCAGCACTGACTGGGAGAAGAACATACAGTTGGAAGATGTTGATTTTGCAGATGATTTTGCTTTGCTAAATAATAACCACAATAACATACACAGAAAAATAATTGAATTAGCAAAAGTAACATCAGATGTTGGATTACAAAAAAAGAAAACAAGTTGCGACAAGATAAATATACTTGAGACAAAAACAGATCAAGCAGACATTACACTTGAGACACACACGTACACAAATTTAAACGAACAAATCAGTATACATGTTTAAGCTAGTAATCTTGATGTGCAAGTAAACACAACGGAAGGAAAAATGAGATACATTGGCAAGGAAGGCGCCAGCAACTGTTAAATCCTTGAACAAAATATGGAATTCTTTAATTATTTTGTTTTCAAACAAGATTACGTTTTTTCAATTCTAATATCGTTTTAGGTGTAGCAGGTAAATGTCCTGGAAATAGAGGCGGCTAGTGTGTTTGTAACCACATGACACACACACTGGCCTATATAAATGTCAGTTTAACAACATATACATGATACCACCCTGTCCGCAATAGATATCCTTTATTTATGATTGTTTTTATTTCAATTTGTATGTACTATTGTTACAGATACAGTAAAACATCCTTTAAACGAATTCAAAGGAACGAGAAAAAGGTTTCTTTGAAATTATTCGTGTTAACCTCTGACTGCTAGATCTATTATATAAATAATACATCCCTGCTGAGACCAAATAATGATAACCCAATTTTCGTTTGGTCGAAAGCGAGTTAATATTAAAGAGGCTCTATAGTACAAAAATAAATAGTAAATTTACCTTACCGGAACAAAAGCAGATTTTCCGAACCCGGTTTGTGCTCATGGACTCGAGCCTAGCCAGCCAGTTGCCTACTGCAGACCACACGAACATTGAGACAAACCGAAGTACCGATATCACCGAGACGATGGCACCAGCCTGAAGAGTAAGTACATTGATAATTGTTTTGATTTTGTCCTCAACTTAAATAGAATAGCCAGAACAGGCACAACAGTAGTACTACAGTTTAATTTTGATTAGCATCCAGTGCCTGCAATGATCTGCAATGGCCTGATGAGCCATGTATATTCCTCCTCCCGTTCCTTTTCCACACACACACACACAAATTTATTTAAACACACGATGCTTTACTTTTATTTATTTTTTAAAGAAAAAGCAGGATGTTGTGGGGTCAAGTCGTCATGCTGTTGTGTCAGGTCAGGGGATCTATGGGTTATCGTGGAGTCACGACATATGATACATTGGGATAATTAGGGCAGGGGTGGCGAGTTTAGTATCTCGGGATTTGATGCCGGTGGCTCATGTTTTAGCAGTAGATAGGCTGCGTTATGTGGGTGGTCCGATTTATGGGTTGTCAAGCTTGTCAAAGGTATATTACTGTTGCGAGCGCATGTTGTTTGTGCCCCTGTTATCTTAAAGTGGTGTGAGTGCGGCTCTCTAATATGATATATAGGTGGTCTTATAAATGGTGGTCAAGCATATCGTAGGTGTATCATTGTTGCTAGCACATGTTGTGTGTGCTCCTGTTATCGTTATCACGTTGTGTTAGTAGCACGAGGATAGTGCGGGTGCCACGTGATGGTATAGAAGCATGGAGTGTGAAAGCCGCAGGTGATGTCGGCGCCATAGAGTAGTGTGAGAAGCGCAAGTGGTGTGGGTAGCGCAGATTTGTGTGGGTAGGGCAGGGTGATTGGGTGCGCTGCTCTTAGGGTGTTTCTTAGGTTAGAGGCTCTTGTTGGTTGTACGGGAGGTTATACGCTTTTGAATGAGTGTCTTTTAATGGTAGCTAGGCTGCGATAAATGAGTGACATTTTGTATAACACTTAAACATATCTACAACTGATATCCAAAACCCGAATGGGCACACGTATACACTGATGGATCATTGGATCATTAGCTCTGCCTATTTACACACTAGGTCACTTTTAATTGGTGCTTGCTCAGGCTTATCAACTTTGCTGAAGGTTACGGGGGTGTCCGGTGTACTGTTTGCTCGAAAAGATTTCTGCGTTGTCTTCCAAATAGGTTTTCGTTTCGAGAGAGAGATTGCATGTGACATAGGTTGCAGCATACTCTTAAAAAAAGGGGCGGGGTGTGTGCTAGTGCTAGTCCTGCATGTTTTTGGAGCGTTAAAAGCGCTGACATGCTAGAATTTACAACACCGTTGATATCACTATTTTATAGTTTAGTATATTTTCATTGTGCTCAAATCCTACCCTCAGCATAAACTCCAGTATCCGGTGGCAAATAGTAGCAGGTCTACATTGTTTAACGAATCCTCTGATGTGCCTGGTGTGCGTCTTGTTTTGTGCTATGCCGATCTGAACACCATGTGCTATGCCGATCTGAACACCATGTGCTATGCCGATCTGAACACCATGTGCTATGCCGATCTGAACACCATGTGCTATGCCGATCTGAACACCATGTGCTATGCCGATCTGAACACCATGTGCTATGCCGATCTGAACACCATGTGCTATGCCGATCTGAACACCATGTGCTATGCCGATCTGAACACCATGTGCTATGCCGATCTGAACACCATGTGCTATGCCGATCTGAACACCATGTGCTATGCCGATCTGAACACCATGTGCTATGCCGATCTTAACACCATGTGCTATGCCGATCTTAACACCATAGTCTATCATTATGGCCAGTGATGTGGATTCACTGCCCTCAAACTCCATACCATTCCCAGTACTATGTGGGCATTTTTAATATCAACAGTATCCATTTTTTTACCATTAGTAGTGATAGCAGATCCAGCTCTTTCATTTCCATTGACGTCTGCATATCCCGGAATGAAAAGAAAGGTGACTCCACGCACAGTGGACTTCTGTAATGTTTCAAGCTTTTGCCTTCGCACTGAACCTGCCTAAACCCTTAGGTTCATAATTATTGAATTACTGAGTACACATTCGCGGGTATAGTTTTGTGTTTCGAGCCACTCGAACGATTGCGTTTCCGCCATAACCTTCATCGTCGTGGCTGTCATAAAGAAGACGCATGTGGCTTCCTTGACTGTTCTGCTGTGATCACCCATGCGCTTCTTTGCCATCGTTTAAGGGATCTGACTGTGGAGATCAGTACATCTGCCTCGTGAGCTTCGATTTCTGAATTGACATCAACATGCTCATGCATCGCCTGTTGAGTGTGGCAATACAGCTAAATGTATAAATGAACGCACCAGGCACTGGTATCCATTCTGCACCAAGAGTGAATTCGGTGAGGCTGCATATTTGCTTGAAAACATCTTCTTCCCTAACTGGCCATGATTTTTCCCTCTTCAGCTTGTTGCCTTTTTCGCTGAAATGTTATTGATGAAGTGGGGATTTCTTATCAGCGCATATTTTGAGGTATACCCAAGCCCTCAAGATCCTCATCCTTTAGTTCCTGGTCAAAAAGTCAAGTACATATTTTATTGCTACACAGGAAGTGTCTCTTGTACATCCCAGAATACTGTTTTTTTACTTGCCCTGATGCTCACTGGGACTCAACGAGTTGAAACCGCCTTAGCTCTTGTACTGAGGGTGTGTAAAAACACTGGTCAGATAATGGTGGAGATGGTGATGATATTGTTGATGTTGGGGGTGATATTGGCGATAGTGGTGATTGTGATAGTCGTGTTGGTAATGGCGTGTTGGTAATGGCAGTGTTTGTAATGGCGGTGTTGGCAATGGCGGTGTTTGCAATGGCGATGTTAGTAATGGCTGTGTTGATAATGGCGGTGTTGTAAATGGCGGTGTTGGTAATGGCGGTGTTGGTAATGGCGGTGTTGGTAATGGCGGTGTTTGCAATGGCGGTGTTTGCAATGGCGGTGTTGGTAATGGCGATGTTAGTAATGGCTGTGTTGATAATGGCGGTGTTGTTAATGGCGGTGTTGGTAATGGCGGTGTTGAAAGTGGCGGTTTTGGTAATGGCAGTATTGTTTGGTGATGTTGGTGTTTGTTGGTAATGGTAGTGTTGTTTGGTGATGGTGGTGTTTGTTGGTAATGGCAGTGTTGTTTGGTGATGGTGGTGTTTGTTGGTAATGGTAGTGTTGTTTGGTGATGGTGGAGTTTGTTGGTAGTGGCAGTGTTATTTGGTGATGGTGTTGTTTTTTGGTAAGGGCAGTGATGGTAATGGCGGTGTTGGTAGCGGTGGTGTTGCTAATGGCAGTTTTATTTGGTGATGGTGGTGTTTGTTGGTAATGGCAGTGCTGGTAATGGGGGTGTTGGTAATGTCAGTGTTAGTAATGGCGGTGTTGGTAATGGCAGTGTTAGTAATGGCAGTCTTGGTAATGGCAGTCTTGGTAATGACGGTGTTGTTAATGGCAGTCTTGGTAATAGCCGTGTTGCTAATGATGGTGTTGGTAATGGGGGTGTTAGTAATGGCAGTCTTGGTAATAATGGTGTTGGTTGTGACAGTGTAAGTAGTGGCGGTGTTTGTAGTGACAGTGTAAGTAGTGATGGTGTTGGTAATGGGGGTGTTGGTAATGGGGGTGTTGGTAATAGTGGTGTTGGTAGTGACAGTGTAAGTAGTGGCGGTGTTGGTAGTGACAGTGTAAGTAGTGGCGGTGTTTGTAGTGACAGTGTAAGTAGTTGTGGTGTTGGTAGTGACAGTGTAAGTAGTGGCGGTGTTTGTAGTGACAGTGTAAGTAGTGGCGGTGTTTGTAGTGACAGTGTAAGTAGTGGCGGTGTTTGTAGTGACAGTGTAAGTAGTGATGGTGTTGGTAATGGCAGTGTTGGTAATAGTGGTGTTGTTAGTGACCGTGTTGGTAATGGTAGGGTTGTGATGGCAGTGTTGGTAATGGCGGTATTTGTAGGCGGTGGTGGCATCGGTGATGATGTTGAAGGTGGTGATGTTGGTGGTGGTGGTGGTGATAATGTTTGTGGTGGTAATGATGTTGGAGGTGGTGATGTTGTAGTGTAATAACTGAACACCGTCTTACCTCTTGTACCGAGAATTTAAGAACACTGGTCAGGTAGAAAGGCAAGCAGGCCAGTGTGACAATGACGCCCCAGTTGAGGACAGAATGGGCAATGAGAAAAACCCATACTGGTCGAGATGTCAAAATTGTGCGGTATGGAGTTCCTTCTGATGCCTGCAACAAATCATTTCATTTATTTATCACACATTTGAGCGGTCCTTACATTATATTGTGGTTCACAGCAAAAGTGCGATATCTGCACTTTTCGGCCTAGAACAGTCGATTTCAGCAAATCACTGACTGATAGCCTTTAAAGACATATTTGCCACCACCACTACCATAATCATAGTCACAATCGTTACCATCATCATTATCATTACCTATACCACTATTACCACCACCACCATCATCATTATCATCACCATCATCACCACCACCACTACCACTACCACCATCAGCATCATCACAGTGCCACGCTACATGTGGCTCTATTAGTCCTATACTTTGCTCTATATCGGGCAACCCTTTCAATAGTATGGATACGGTCAAGTCCAGCACCTAAAGCCTCTCTCACCAATGTTCGTCTCAGGGTTTCTCTTGAACCTCCCCTGTTGTCTCAGTTCATTTGTTTAACCATCCCATCCCAGTGATTTTCAGTTATGTGATGTTCCTAATCTGGCAGGTGCCATCTTCACAATGGAGGTTGAGTTCCATGGATCTCAAACACTCGTTGTCTCTCACCTTTCTCTCACTATTGTTACCGAGTAGATTAATACATAAATTAAACATTAGTTTAATTAAATTGCAATTAAGTGGTCTATTATTTTAATTTTTATTATTATAAATTTTTTCTTATATCCCACTTATTGATCTTCAAAATGATTATTGAAGCAATAACACTTGTAGCAAATTAATGAAACTATTTTAATTTGTGTATAAATCTACTTTGTAACAATGA